AGCCAGTAATAGATGAACTTGAGACTAGCAAGCTTCCTGAATCTATCGAGCCTATCAGCAAAGTGATGGATATGCCTCTAAAAGAAACAAGCGACGAGTGCGATTCTTCTAAGCCTATTAATCAAGAATCGTCTGCTATACTCCTAACTAGACAACAGCGAGAAGAGCGTCTCAGAAAAAGGGCAGTCAAGCTCGGTGAAGATCCCAAAAAATTCGTAACCATCACAAAAAAAGATAAACACGATTCATCTACATTCTGTGATAGGATGGAAATGGATTCACAAATGTGTAGTTGGGCTATAGAAATGAAGGATGATCCTAAAGAAGATATGGACATAACGGTACGTGAAAGATTGATAGGAAAAGAAATTATCCGTCACAGGCTCGAGGATAACAGAGTCACAACCTCGTGGCTTGATACTGATGAGAAATAGAAAAAAACAATAAGCATACTTCAGGAGAATGGTATGCTTTGGTAAAGAACGCCTTCCAATCTAAGATTTATTTTGAGGAGGATTATTATTTTTTTTTGCATATCCTATCTATCCGTAATTTTCAAATCAATGTAAAACTCCCTAGCATCTTAAACTGCTTTTGAGAATCGTATTAAGGCAAGAATCTGACCGCTTTGATGCGGGAGATAATTATGCTATAGGTGATACTGAGTTAGAAGACGATAGTCCTAAATCTGACTATGAATCTGAATCTATTCCTGAGGCAAATGGTTTTAAACCCTAACCTGATCCTCAAAAGTCTCAGACAATAGAAATGGATTTCATGTTAGCTAAAATTAATACAATATTAGCTTAAATTCGGAAATAAATTTCAATCTGAAGTAGTGGATCGCATAATTTCTCTGGCTGAAGGCACTCAGGGTAAGGTGCTTTGCTATTTTATTTTTTAGTTTGAAGATACAACATATAATACAGATGATATATGACACATACAGATATGTTTAATATACAGAAATTACTAGAGCAGATTTTACATTTCTTATTGATAGATAAATCTCTCTACCCTACTCTATTTGTTTGCTGATTGTGATACAGATGCGGTATTTCTATTCTATAGAAACACGTTGAGCTAAATGGTATGAATGATCAAACTCAATTAAAAAGATTTTTAAAAATAGTATCCAGAGGAGAACGTAAATCAATTTATAGCTCGAAATTAACTCATATTAGAATATCAGACTACTGGCTTTTAAATAAAAAAATCAAAAGTATTGTACGCAGGTTCCAAAATATAATTTATTTAGATTTTGAAGGAAGTATGAAGTTTGAGTCTGTTGGAAAAATTTTAAAACTAATAGCAAAATCATACCCAAATTTGAAGTATCTTAATATATCCGTTTTAGGTAATTTATTTTAATGGAAAATTGATAAAGGTCTAACTGCAAT